AAATTTCAGTCACTGTTTTCTGGCAAGTTTTCGAGTTAGCATAGTAGCAAGGTGCAAACTTTGACATAATCGTACGCGCTGTACAAACGTTCGCGACAGCCGAATTTGAAGTTTTTAGCCCGCACACACATAGAGAATATCCCTGCAAGGTTTCAGCTTTGCATCTTGCCTGGTCGCGAAATCGTTCCCCGCCAAAGAAATTTGCATATTTTTTCGGGTGTCTGAACGCGAGGCCTAGGTGTGTATGAGCGAAAATTTTAAAAATGAGACAAGAGGTAGGAAAATAAACCCAAAGTTTCAGCCTCCCAGTTTTCCTGGTTGCTAAGATGAAAGTGGTTGACGAAGTTCACTCGCTTCCGAACACACACACGGACGCCTCTTGACAATATGCGTTTTTGCCTGCTGTGGCAGCGCTATACACAGCAAAAACGTACAAAAGGCAATACAAGTGCCACTAGCACAACAGAAGGTATAAAGAAATATAAAAAAGTAGAAACCAACGCACTTCGTAGGAATGCCCACCCAGCCTATACTTTGGATATGGGTAGAAGATAGTGCCAGTTGACATGCGGTTCCGATATGTTTCCTGAAAGAACCTTTGCTTACTTAATGAAAATTTTTTCAGGGGTATGAATTCAGGCGTTCTGCAATAGCAAAATTCCTTTAATCGTAGATTATGAACTCAGTCATTTGGCAATAATACCTTTCACTAGCAGATTATAAGTTCAACTTGCGTGCGGACACACACCTACATAAGTGTATGTATGTATGTGTATGTATGGATGGATGGATGGGTGGATGAATGGATGGATGGATGGATGTATGCATGTTGTATTTCTATGTGTTTTGGCTGTTCGGTATCACGTGTGCAATAAAAACGGTGCGATGTGGTTAACAATCCAATTATTTAACTCTGTTTCCTGCTTGTTAATGAACATTGGTGCTTTTGTCGAAAACCAGAAAACCCGTCTAAAAAAAAAAAAAAATGCATGCAAACCTGTAAATCCCAAACAACGGCATAAGAATCACCTCCTCCAAACATCACATGATCCGATACCGGCGAGGCAGTAATCCGAAAATCAAACGCGTTAAACGCCTTTCGTTTGACTCCTTGCAATATATCAACTAAAACTGCCGATATTCGCACAAAGTGTTTGAAAAAAGAAAAATATAACAAGCAATGATCGAGGACTAGAAATGATAAAGAAGCGAACGGAAATGAGCTGACTCGGATGTTTCGACGATCCCTGAACGGTATAAAGATAAACTCTCGAGTCTGTCGAAGCGGCAAAAAGCGTCGAGCCGTAGCGATCAAGACACATTGACGTAATGCCTGAAAAGTAGGTACCAACGTAATGAAAGCAGATGCAATTCGCTTTGAAAACGTGGAATTCAGACGTTAAAGGCGAAAGAAAGCAGCAGTGTCGGAGTGAAAAAAAGAACTGAAGAGTTCCCAGGTAGAAGAATTCAAAAATATACCCGCACTCACCTACAAAGCAAAGTGAGCAAAACAGCATATCTTCTCTCCCAACTATCTTAACTCCCCAAATCCTTCTGCCCAAAAAGCTGCGCGGCTCAGATTGCTTTCAGTATCAAGGATATAATTTTAGCAAAACTCACATCCAATTTACGACAAGTGGGAAAATGGTTTACACAAAGAGATACTCAAACATACTATCACAGTTGCTGCGTGTTACAATCTGTAACGCTCAACGAATATGACAATGAGTACACGGTACCCCCTAAATTCGTCTTGACTGCAGTTCCCGGACTAAAAATTTGTAGTTTGCGTAGAATGGATTTATTTACTGCAACAATTCTACAACGATTTCGGAACTGAACTCAAAAGTTGCC